CATAGGGCAAGTCTAAGACCGTGATGTAAAAATCCTGGTTTGAGTCCCAGCTGGTTACTTTGACCAGAGGTAGACAAGGTGGGGAGACCCAAACCTGCCCAACCATCCAGAGGACTGATGTCCCATCAATGGAGCCGAGTGCTATTTCACTTGGAAAGCAACAAGACCAATATAAAAAACATTATACTTAAAATCTACTTTGCATGTCTTTACTTCAATGGTCAAACTTTCAGGAGAGTAGGGCAGGCCTAGTGTTTTGATGGAGACTCACTGTAACTTGGCTCTTACACTCCATGCCCAAAGTCCTTTACCAGCACAATCCTCTTTGAATGAAGTCCCGAAGGGTTGAATTCATATTAAAATCTCTAATGTGAGAAGAATTACAGCAAGGTTACAATATAATTAACCTGAATTATCTTTCAAAACTCTTGCTGATAGATATTCCTGCCACGTCAGACTATGCTCATGCTGTGATTTTTAAAATTAGCAAAGAAAGAGGTTTCCATATTCGTTCAAACTGAAAGAATAAAGGAATCTTTGCATAAAAAGAGTTGGTCAATGCTTTCCATTATTTTCTAATACTGCTCTTACAATAGAGTTTTGGGTTAGTCTAGTAGCTTCTCTGTATGGCAGAGCCTTATTCTGTCCACTCCCTAGAGTCTGCAAAAGTCTGCGATTCTTATTTAAGGACCGTGGTGGTTCCCTTCACTGCTTGGAGAGGGAAAAAAAAGCAAAATCGAGGCTATTATCCTGTGTTTATAACAAGTCTATTACCATAGTAACAACTGTGATGTCACAAAGCCAACACCAAGGGCCAAATTCTGTCTCTGAACAGGGAAGGGCAGCTTAGCATCGGAAATCGGATGAAATCGGATGCAAACAAGTTCGGCCAAAGGAGGGTCAATGCCTGTGGCGATCACCAAAGTACAGGGAGTTCCCCTTCTCTGAAGAAAAGGGGGGGGGCAGGAACAGAAAAGCAGTTCCCCAGGCACACAAGTAAGCTACACCCACACTTCTGTGTGCAGCTGTGCAAAAGGAGAGTGGAGATCCAAGAGTCTGTGGTATCAACCATGTTCCCAATCACGAGTATTCCACTGGGCCACGGCCTGCCAAATGTGGACGGGGTCCAGTGGTGAGCCCGCCCGAGCACAGGAAACATGCGCTGAAACCAGGGCCTGACCAAACAGGGCCTGACCAGGGCCCTCTGGCACCTCAGGGAAGCAGCAGCTTGCCTTACTTATGATGGCACTCACTTTCAAACCAAACTGAGGTTTCACCCCTACTAGGTCCTCCCAGTTCACAAAACCACTGATTCTCAGGGTGAGAGAACTCACTGAGTCTCCCAAAAGATGTGGACTTTAAAAAATAGCAGGAACAAGTTGCATCCCCTGTCACTGAATCTAAAGTAGCAGATTAATAAGTATTCTTATTTGGATACAGTCTAGGGAAGTTTTGTACAAATATGCTAAAAGAGCAACTTTAAATTAAAAAGAGTATTGGATTAGGAAACAGACGACCTTAGTACTAGTCTTGGCTCAAGTACTTAGAAACCGTGTGACTTGAGAAAGCCATTTAACCAATTTGAGCTTCAGTTTTTATTTAATACTATTTAACATGCTAATTTCAGGGTTCTATAAAGATCAGATTAAATAAAATAGCAAGTATGAGTGAGTTTCATAAACTGTAAAGGATTTAATACAAACACAGGTACTATTATTAGCATTGTCACATAGAATTGTCACAGTTAATACAACAACAACAATTTGAACACTAATAGTTATTTTCTTTCCAGGAATCCAAAGCATATATATGATCCTCATCTTCCCTATCCTGAGAGGTGGACACTTGCATGATACAGTCAACTCTAAATTATTCAGGGGCTGATTACCGAGGGGCCTTTTGCTTCTAGGCATTCTACCATTTCTTAGTTCCCCTCAGGAAGCCACGTCAACCTGCATATGGCTGTACCACTGACAGCAAGTGTGCCTCGACTCTATTAACCTGAATAATAACTCTGGTAAAGTTTTAGCAAAAGAAAGAATTGAAATGATTAACTAGACAGAAGTTTTTGGATAATCCGTGGACTTTTCTTATCCATGGATAATTACTCACATAACTGTCTGGGAGACTATGGTCAAGGTCAGATAGGTTGGGACTAATTCAACAACAAAGTAGCCTGCACTGTCTCATGTATGTGCAGTAGCAATTTAAATAGTCATTTATTCTGCAAATATTGGTGACACACCCACTATGTGTCAGAGCTCATCACATACCCTGAAAACCCCACTATTTTCCGATCCTCACTGCTCCTGTCACGATACTCCACAGAGGACCTTGGCAAAGCTCATAGCCCGACTCTTAGAAACACTATTCACCTTCCACTTATCATGAGACTTTTACCAGTCTTACCCTCACGCCGGGGTTACCAAACTGTGGTCCCCCGTCAAACCCTGCTCACTGCCTTTTTAATATAAAGTTTTATTGGAACACAGCTATGCCCATTTGTTTACATATCATCCATGGCTGCTCTCCTGTGACCACAGCTGAGTTCAGCAGTTGTAATAGAGACAGCACAGCTCCAAAGCCTTAATTCCTACCTGGCCCTATACAGAAAAAGGTTGTTAACCCCCGATCTAGACAACATGACTAAATCAAAATTCATCTCTCCTGTAAATTTCTGCTTAGGAACTAACAGAGTAAGGTCCTTGAACACGGAGGACCTTTCTGCATCTTTGTCTTTTCCTATAGAACCCGGGAGTAGGATCGAGTCTGGTGTAGAGCAGATACAGAAAATTAAACACGTCCTCCACACTGTGCTTTGAACAGATGAGTGCCTTGGAGTTGCATGGAAGACAGCACAAAACCGCTGGGGTTCGGTTGCTCTGGCTTGGAATTCCTCAGAGTTCCAACGTCTAAGACTTCCAAGGCTCAGTTTTTGGCCTCTATCCCTTTGCATATTTATTTCCTGATCTGATGTGGAATTAGAATTAAATAGGAGCTGTGTGCTTGAATTCCACGTGGCTGGCTCAGCAGGAAACTCCAGGGCAGGTTTTTTGGCATGCCAAATTCATGTTAGCCTCAGCTATGCTAATTTCTAAAGCTGTTTGCTTTTGCTCAAATAAATCTTAGAGGGGAATTTGCATTTGGATGCACACCTTTTTATGCACAAATCATGTGCATGATCACTCTAGGGCTGAATAAAAACTGGAAGAAAAAAAAGAAAAAATTAAATGGCTTTTGTATGGCAGGGACCATGTTAGATAGCTTTGCATACATTTTCTCATCTCAGGGACACAACAAATCCCTTGAGGTGGAACTATAATCCCCATTTAGCAGATGGGGAAACTAAGGAGAAGAGAGCTTGTGTAATTTGTCCATGTTCACAGAGCTGGCAAGTGACAAAGCTTAGATTTGTCTGAATCTGAAGGCTGTGTTCTTTTCACTTAGTCACACTGCCTTAATGATACCCTCATCATCACTACCACTCATCTAAGTCACTGGGCATACATTCAAACATGAACGTCACATGTATAAAATTAGTCACCCCTCTTCTTTTCAGCTGGCCCTTGGGAGATAAATTTGGGCCCCTCCATATCACAAAACAATCAAAGGAGGATAGGGCATTAAAAAGGCAAATTTTATATGATACACAAATTATATTAGTAATTAGTCGACAAACACAATTACAAGTGACTTTCACAGGTAAATGTATTTTGATGACATATCTGAGGACCTCAGTGTGAAAGGACACTTACTGCTGAAATATACCAAGTTGCCCGGACAGGCGTGGCTCAGCCGTTGAGCATCAATTTAGGATCCAGGAGATCACTGTTCGATTCCTGGTCAGGGCACATGCCTGGGTTGCAGGCTTGATCCCCAGCCAGGGGCATGCAGGAGGCAGCCGATCAATGACTCTCTCATCACTGATGTTTCTATCTCTCTCTCCCTCTCCCTTCCTCTCTCTGAAATCAATAAAGATATATTAAAAAAATTATACACACACACACTCACACACACACACTAGGCCAACAAGAGAATGTATCCATACCATGAAATAAAATGTTATTAACACTTAGAATATGGCACAATATATCTATAACATAAGCCCAGGAATTCATATCTACAAATATCTTCACTGTTGTGGAAACAGAGCCAAACACCTACCTTCCCTAAAAAAATACAACTATTAGCTTTAGGAAATCACATTAATTACTAATTGTTCAATTCAATATACAAAAAAATAAACCAGTGTAGCAATTAAGTCTTCTAGCACAATTCCAACATTTTACAGCAACCCAGATACAATATTATTGAACTTCTTTCTCTGTGAGGAACATATCTGAAACCTAGCTTGCAATATCACATCGTGCTCTGCCCACTGCCATCAGGTTAATGCACTGCCATCTAATTTCTAGAAATATAAAAGAACTCATTACATTTTCATGCAAGTGAAATTCAGATCTCCACTTTTTTTAAAGGTCTCAAAGAGCTTCCTAGGAATTAGAAAGAACTCTATGGAAGAGATGGGTAATCTAAGTTGTTTCTTAAGTGGATTTAGAAGAGGGAACTTTCAAGAACAAAGCTGCCACACACCCTTTACAAAACTCCCCCTTCCTACAGAAATCCATGGAGGAGACCTCACCCTCAAGACACCACCAACCATGGTTACTTTTTTTCTTGCTAACCTGTCAGTATATATCTTATTTTTAAAATTATTTCATCTTTATTTTGAACAGATTATTTCAGAGAAGGAAAATAACTTTTGTAGCCAGTGGTAGAAAAAGTCCCTTGCAGGTTGAACGTTTATAGTCTAAGCAATAGATTGGGGGGTTTGTTTAATATAGCGATGCTGCATTAAAGAATACATGCACTAACATTTCTTATCTACAAAGTTTCTAAGAGTCTTTTCCAAAATTAACTTGAGCTTGATAATTATTTATAAGATAGTTCAAACAACTTTCTATGAGTCACTATTGTTGGAAACCCCAGTAAAGACTTACCTGCTGGTGGCTTTATGAAAGGTGGCGGAATTAAAGGGACAATAATGGGCACATTGCCATGATCCTTTGACCCTGCGGGTGAGTCACTGAGTCCATTTCCTGTGGCAAGCCCTGAATAGCCTGTGCTTATATTGTATGGTGAAATAACACTGTCCTCAGGTAATTTTGGTTTTGGCAAAGAATTTTCTGTAAGAGAAAAAAAACCATGTTCAATATGACAAATGAACTTATTTTCCTTATGACGACGTTTTCTCAAGTGAAACAGCTATGCAACAAAACAATTTTTCCTGGCAAACTTCTAAACACTTTACTAGAACTCTACAGACCATCCAAGTTTGTTACCATAAATTTCCAATGGGCTCCTTTATAATTTGCCCTACTATGATAACTAACATCCCAATTGTATCATGATGATGAATTTCAGCACTGTAAAAGCCCATAGAAAATTGAGAGGGAAATAACCTTTTCCATGTACAAAGTGATATATAGCAGGCATTGCTCTGTCTACCAAGGAGACAGCTTAAAAAGTGCCCCCCTAACCGAGCACTGTAACTAGGTCCCAGTGTATTATAAACGTGGTTCATAATATAATCAAAAGCACCAATATGAAAAGAAACAAATGATTAGGAGCAAATGTTGCATGGGGTAGAGCAATTAAATTAACCCATTAATATCAATTAAAAAGGAACAAAAATGAAAATAAAGAAAACTTACAATGATATGAACTTTGTGAATTTTATCTGTGCATGTCAATCATTTAAAAAAACTCAACCATAGAAAACAACTTTTTCCTTCTAGTCGCATATCCTGGCACTCCTGTCCCCGGAGGGAAAGATTACTACCTAGACCAAGGATTTTATGAGCTATTAGTTTATAGAATATGAACTCACAACTTGTATTTTTCATTTGCAGTGAAACTGATACTACTGCCATAACGTGATGTGTACCATTTCATAGCAAGCTTAACATAAAATCTGTCACGTACGTTCAATTCCACATGCCTGCAGGACAGCTCATTTACATTTCGTGGCTTGGCGTAGAAAAAGGAAAAGTGCTATTTTAGAGACTGGAAACAAAATGCACGGACAGGTAGAACCGCATGCCGGCAGAGCTTTGAATGCAGTGCAAATACTGGCCACACTGCCAGTGACGGCACAATTCGTTTCAGCCGCATTTTATTAAAGTTTCCCAAATGGGTCGTTGCTTCTTCACACACTCCTCTTCTTGGACAAAGAGTCGTTCCAAATTTAGGTTCGTACGTTCAGTATCCATACCAACACTCACCCATGGCTCTAAGCTCCCTCACGGGAGAGCTGGCACTGCTCCCACCAGCAGAATCGCTGTGAATTCAGCTCTGCCAAGCCTCTAACTTCCACCCTTTCGCTGGGCTTTAAGGAACTTCTTAGAGAGTAACCCAGGATCCAATCATCCACTACTCTCTTACTCCTCTACTTACCCTACTCGCAGGTGTGGGGATGTGGGAAGGGAGAAAACTTTAGACACAAAACAGCAATAGGACTATCCTTTAGAATTCACACACAAAAAGGGGGGGATTACCAAAGTAACCATGATATTCTCTTGCGGTCTCAAAATCTAAACCGAGCATTTCGCTCCACAGAAAGCACCAGTCCTCAGCAATTCGTATATCCCAGGGCTTAGGAAACTAGGAGAAGTTAGTAAACATCCCTTTTCTATCAATTTGTGGGCATGACTACAGCACTTAAGGTTCCCAGCCCTTGTCTAGCTAGTTCTCCCATTGCTGGAAGGAGACCAGGCTGTGTCTACTTTTGTTTTATGTTGTGCTCTTATATTCTGTGGGATTCTGCTTATGGGAAAGCGCTTCTGGGGCTGGGGATGTACATCAACCATTGGCATAATCAATAGAATGAGTCCCAAAGCAACTCAATTCTGGCTAGTTGAGATAGTCAAATCCTTCTTGGCATGAACAAAGGGACGTTAAATGTCATTACCTTTGAGAACAGAAATGTGCTGCCGGCTCTCTCCATCTGTAGGGTAGCTCCTGAATTCAATATCTTCACCATCTTTCAATTCAACCTTATCATAGCCATACCAGCCAAGGAGTTCATTCATGGTGTTTTCTGCAAAGTTCTGAAAGAGAAGCATAGACTACTTATTTATATAATCAATAACTATTTGCAAAGATTGCATGAATCAAATTCCGCTTGCACTGCCCATTTACTACCAGCCTCTACCCACCTCCCCTAGAGGCGTGTTCATTTTTCAAATCATGTTTAAAAATTGTAATGCATTTAAATCTCAGGATGACACATCAAATTATGACAGGCCTCAGACATTTGCAATTTAAAGATAATAAGAAAAAAGGTATTAGTCAGTTTTGCTTATGAACAGAAACACAATTTTAGCATATTCCTCTGTAAAGTCTATCCCACACTAATATAAAAATATTGAAAGGTAAAGCCCCAAAATAGCTAAAATAAAAAAAACGATTTTGAAAACGAAAACAATTAATTGACCTTTTGTGGCTCAGATTAATGTAAATTAAAGTCGCTTTCTGATTCAGTTGATGCCTCTTAACATGACTCATCTCAAATAAAGTGAAATCTCAGCAAAGGAATTTTTTGTCAACCGCTACCACACAGAAAGCTAAATAGGCTACAAGGGTCTCCCTTTTTTATTTTCCCTTTTGCAAGAGTATTCTTTAAAAATCAGTGCATGATTTGCTTTATAAATTTCATTAGTGACAGAGTCTTTCTCCATGAAATCAAAGGACACTCTATTGTCTTTTGACAGGTAATATAAAAGTACCAAATAACGTTAAGGTTACTAGTCAGCCCAGATTTTGGATAATGCATGAAAACACTTTCTGAACTATAAATCAGTATCTAAATATAAGGTGTTGTTATTATAGATATGAAACTGTGAAAATAATAGACACACTTGGATAGGTTTAAAGCCTTAACATCAGGTGACTATGTTTTATGAACTTATCAACTGCTAGATCTGGAAGCAAGATGTGAGACTATGTTTGCTAATAATCTTAATGTTTGTGTGTGCCTTAAGAATCTCTAGCTGAAAAATAGAAAGATATTGGTTAGTGGGTACAAAGTTCCAGTTATAAGATTAAAAAGTTTGGGGATCTAATGTATAGCATACTGATTATAGCTAATAATACTGTATCATATACTTGAGTGTTGCTAAAATAGTAGATCTTAAATGTCCACACCACAAAAAGAAATGGTAAACTATGTGACAGGATGGAGGTAGCAGCTAATGCTATGGTGATAACAATTTTGCAATATATAAATGTATCAAATCAACCCTCGAGACACCTTAAACTTACACAGTTATGTGTTAATCATATCTCAATAAAGCTGAAAATTTTTTTAAATAAAAAGAAGGAATCTACACTACAGACTAAGAGCTCAATAAATGTTTGTTGAATAAATTTTTAAAAGCATCTCTATCTGACAAGACAGCCTACGCTTCCTAGACTGAGCTAGAAATCTATATATGCTAACCTCTGTGGCTCAAAGAGTCTTTTCTCACTCTTCCTAGAAGCTGTCATTTCTGAATTACACTGGGATGTATAATTTATATACCTGAAACAAAGCAGCCAGGTTAAACCAGAGTGCTCACAGCCTCAACGTGTGAGTTCCATGTTCTCTTAAATTTCACAACTTTAGATTTCAGCAGGGGTTGCATTAAAAAAAAAAAAAAAAGATATTACATTACTGACTCCACAGAAACAAATCTGGCATTTCAAACCACCCACAGGATGCTAGATTTTGTGCTTTAGTGCCCACTTAAGCTCAGAGCTCCAACTGGGTCTACCTGTGCTGGTATAGTGCACAAGCAATTAAAAAAAATCTAGCCAGACTGATTCAGCACTACCATCCGTGAGGCCAACAGTCATCCATATCAAGCTCTAGTGAGGCATTTAGTCTCTCTGATGGCTGGTCATGTCCACATTAAATAGACATTCTCTTCATGAATGCACAAAGATGAGATGATCGATATGTATAATAAGCTCAGCAACTTCTGGGATAGCACTGAGGACTCAGTTAAATGCTGCTCTGTTCAACCAAAAGTGATCCCTTTAATGAGGCATCAGTCTCCCCTAGCACCCAATTTCTTTCACTGAACTCAGTGCCTGGACTGGAGAATGAGAGTCCCTAAGCACAGAAATCGAGGTTCTCCACGAGTGGTCTGGCAGCAGAAGTCTCCAAGGATGAGAATTACCCCTTGCCTCAAAAACAATTTCAACAGTGTTAAAAGCCAAGTTCAAGCCATCCTAGTGGTCCGTGTGCTGTTTGCCCCAATCTGTAAGAGAACCTTGCCGAGACAGAAATTCTTCTGCATCATAACTCCAGGCCACCATATCCAATTTTCTAGGCCATTTGTATCTGGGCATCTCTCTCTCCAGTTCTAACCTCTGAAGTGACACAAAGGCTACAGATGCATAATTCATGGGGCAACCTCCCGGTCAGCATATAGATTTGTTTGTTTTAGTCTAGCTGCAAATCCATTCAGTCTTTCAGAACCAATCCCAGGGAAGAATCCAGAAGTTTCACACATTTGGATAAGAACTGAAACCTCAGCTGGATTATGAACACCAAATTCATATTCTTCAGGCATCTTAACTGCATCGCTTAGTTTACGGTTTGCGCTGAAAGCTCAGACGCTTCGTGGATCAATATGAACTTGATCTATCCCACGACTTTCGAGCTACTACAAATGTCAGTGAAAATAAACTCTGAAACATTCCCTTTCTTGTCATTGAAAATAAAATAAACTCCTTAATGTTTTAATATATGATTACAAAAGTAGAAAACACACAGTTTATAAAACCTCAAGCCATAAATCTCAAACCTTTCATGAGGGGAGGAACAAGACTTTCATTGAAAGAAAAAAAAAGAAGAAAAAAAAAGTTTCTCCTAGTGTAAATATAAGAAACAGACTATTACCTCTGACCTACACACCACTGTACTAAGAAAGAGGCCCTGTCCTGGCCAGGTGGCTCTGCTGGTTGGAGCGTTGTCCCCATACACCAACAGGTTGCAGGTTCAATTCCCGGTCAGGGCATGTACCTGGGTTGAGGGTTCGACCCTAGGTCAGGCATGGACAGGAGGCAACCGATTGATGTTTCTCTCTCACATCTATGTTTCTCTCTCTTTCTCCCCCCTTTCTCTCTCTCTAAAATCAGTGAAAACATATCCTTAGGTGAGGATTAAAAAAAGGGAAAAAAAGCAGCCAGGTAGCTCAGCAGAGCATCGTCCAGATAAGCCAGGATTGTGGGTTCGATCCCTGGTCAGGGCACATACAAGAATTAACCAATTAATGCAGAAATAAGTGGAACAACAAATCAATGTTTCTCTCTTCCTCTTTCTCTCCCTTCCTCTCTATTTAAAAAAAAAAAAAAAAAAAAAAAAAAAGGAAGAAAGAAAGAAATAAAGCAAAGAACCCCAAGGAATAAATAACTGAAAATTTTAAATTTCTGGGTAGAATTTGATGCCAGATATCATATGGACTCATTATGGTGCTAAACCAAAGGAAATGAAATTTATTTTTGTAGTTATCGTCCAAGAAACATATCCTAGGAGAAGTAAATTTAATATTTATGGCCCAGAGGGGATTTAAGTCCTGATAGGGAATTCCAACAGTCATTTTTTTCAACATTTTTTTGTACTGTTATCCTTTACAAAGTTTTCTATTAAAAGAATTGTTCTTTTCCGACATAATGTTATGTCAGTTATGTTTTCTTAAAATATGAAAAAGAAAGGTGATAAGAGTTAAAATACAGAGATTCTGAGAGAAGCTACTGTACTAAGGGAGACTATAAAATTTGCTTCCCCCTAAATCTTCACCCACCATTTACCCTGGAGACTCAGAATAAGAAATTGAAGTAAAGTCTCTGAAAGTCTTTCCAAGCTCTGAGATTTTGTGAAACCAAAGAACTACTTATATGAGAAATAAAATACCTTTTGCAAAGAAATATAATTACNAGTCTCTGAAAGTCTTTCCAAGCTCTGAGATTTTGTGAAACCAAAGAACTTCTACTTATATGAGAAATAAAATACCTTTTGCAAAGAAATATAATTATAGTGATCACACATCATAAATTTTACTAAACACCCACTACTTCAAATATTTTATCATTGCTCCCATAAACCATCAAAATGTGCCAGAAATTTCAATATTCTGGCATCTGAATCACATTTTGCAGACTGCCTCTCGCCCTTGGAAGTGGCACAAAAATCCTCTCTCATACCATGTGGTCCAATTTGGGTTTGGAAAATAGGTCACTATAATTATAATGATAACGTCTAACACTCTTATAGCACTTTATAGTGTTTCCACATCCTTTAAAGGTCTCCTGTTCCTTTCAATATCCCTATGAATTAGGTATTTGATTTCCACAATAAACTTTTGGTGAACCTATGTAATGTCCTTACTTTACAACAGAAACGAAAGCATCCAGAAGGTAAGTGACAGGCATGAGAGATCACCCAGGAAAGTCAGAACAAAAATACAGATACTTATACCAGTTCACTTTCTCTTATAAATTCTGTAAGGTCCAATGTGTAAGCAGTTCCAAAGATGCTACCTCCTTGCACCAATCAAGAGTGGCAAAGAAATCATCCCATAGGATGTCAATATCACATATAAACAGCTTTCTAACCAGGGCAGATCTACTTCTCTTAAAATGTCACCTTCTTTCAGATTTGATCACTGGGCCCTATTCTCCTTAACTTTTTATATTGTTGAAATGGGGATGCTCAACATTTATAATTAAAATTTAACCTTCTCATTTGACAATTTTCTTTTAATTTTTTTCTGTCAATCCTCATCTGAGGATATTTTTTCCATTGATTTTTTAAAATATATAGCTTTATTGATTTCAGAGAGAGGAAGGGAGAGGGGAGAGAGAGACAGAAACAACAATGATGAAAGTCATTGATCGGCTGCCTCCCGCATGCCCCCTACTAGGGATCAAGCCCAAAACCTAGGCACGTGCCCTGACCGGGAATGGAACTGCCACCTCCTGGATCATAGGTCGATGCTCAACTGC